TTCCATTCTTTCTGAAAACATGTAACGCACTCTCCCTGGTTTCATGGCATAGACTCAAAACCACATGCCCTCTGTGAATGGTTGTGGTTTGACAGGCTACAGAGACACACACGCTGGCCTACGGAAGTCCCCTGAGGGGCCCCAGAGACCTGCTGTTGCCCAGCGCAGGGTCCAGCCAGCCCACCACTGTGGCTTTCCATGCTCCGGGCCAGCCTGAGGGGCTGGGAGAGGCAATTTGGTTTACAGTGGCGCTGCGGCGACCACTTCCTCCCACGATCTCCGACAGCCACCTCAGTCCTAATGCTCCTAACTGCCATCTGCCTGTGGGGTTGGTTGTTAGAACCTCATTTCGCTTGCCGGCAATCCTCTCTGTTCAGCTGTTGGAATTCCTTTTCTAGGCCAGCTCCCGAAGAAAGGACCCAGTAGAAAACCAACATTTGTTTCCTTAAGAAAAGATCTCACCAAGCCGAGCCTCCTCCTTTCCTCCCCTCCTCCTCCTTTCTCTGTCTCTCTCTGTCTCTCTCTGTCTCTCTCTGTCTCTCTCTCTCTCTCTCTCTCTCTCTCTCTCTCCCTCCCTCCCTCTCTCCCTGTAAAAAATCAATAAAATAATTTTTTTAAAAAAAGATTTCCAGGTGATTCTAATGTGCAGCCAAGGTTGAGAACCACTGTTCTAAGAGATTCTCCTTTAGGAAAATATTTTGTTTGCTGGCAAGAAGATGATAATTAAAAGAATGACTATCTTGATTTTGAAAATTACAAGTTATCGCCTATGTTGGACACACACTCAGATATTTCTATGTAAAGTGCACACTTCCCCCTGGGCCTTGACTGTGCTGGAGGCTGGGTAGGAGCAGAAGGATCACATTTATTTTATTTTCTCTCTCTCTCTCTCTCTTTTTCTTTCTCTTTCTTTTTGTTTCTTAAAATATATTTTATTGATTTTTCAGAGGAAGGGAGATGGATAGAGAGTTAGAAACATCAATGAGAAACATTGACCAGCTGCCTCCTGCACGCCCCCTACTGGGGATTGAACCCACAACCAAGGTATATGCCCATGCCAGAATCGAATCCCGGACCCTTCAGTCCATGGGGCCAACCCTCTATCCACTGAGCCACACCAGTTAGGACAGATCACACCTATTTTCACTCTAGATAGGAAGAGGAGGGTCATCAGCCCCTCCAGTTACTTATGCCTTTGTCTTTTTATAATGTTTAAGGATAACTACCTTAATACTATGACCATCAAGTGGTGTTTTTCAGTTTCCTCCATATGCTGCCTAAGAAACAGATGTGCCTATGCATAATCTCATTTAGGCAGACTGAACTTGAACTAGCAAACAGAGTCCGGCAAAAGTAGGTTTACAGTTGTGAGTACACGACACACTATTCTTGTGTTATTTATTAATGATGGTATTATTTTCCATACGAACAACCGTAAACTACTTTTGCCCCACCCTGTACATAAGTCACTTATGCAAAACACATTTTATTGAATCCTTTACATGCAGTTTTAATTTCTTCATACGCATTAAAAAAATTTAAGCTTTTAAACTTGATAGCTCATTTCCTCAACAAGCTAGAACTTAACAAAAACAGAAACCAGCCCCCCAGGTTGTCAGATTGTTCTTTATATGGACATTAACTATGTATTATTAAGTAAATAAACTTAAGGTATAAGAACATGAGCATTAAAGCCATAACTCAAAATATTTAGCATAAATTAATTTCAATGAAAGTGCTCCCAAACACTTACGTAACACCCATTAAATGTCCAAATTGTGATTTGCCATCTACATAAAAAAGTAGAGACTAGCCCTGGCCAGTGTGGCTCAGTAGCTGAGCATCGACCAGGAGGTCATGGTTCGATTCGGTTCGATTCCCAATCAGGACATACGCCCAGGTTGCAGGCACCATCCCTAGTCGGGGGCGGGGGGGTAAGGGGGTGGCACGCGGGCAAGGAGGGGTGCAGGAGGCAGCCAATCAATGATTCTCTCCCATCACTGATGTTCCTATCTCTCTCTCTCCCTCTCCCTGCCTCTCTGAAATCAATGAAAATATATTTAAAAAAAAGGAAAGAGGCTACCCTGGCTGGCATGGCCCAGTGGTTAGAACTTTGGCCCATGAACCAAAGGGTCTCAGGTTTCCCGTGCAGGTTCAATCCCCTACCCCGCTCCGAGTTGAGTGCAAGAGGCAACCAACCGATGAGTCTCTCTCACATCGACGGTTTTCACTCTCTCTCCCCCCCTTCCTCCCTCCCTCCCACTTTCTCTAAAAGTCAATGGAAAAATACCCTTGGGTGAGGATTAACAACAACAAAAATATAAAGAGGCTAACTGATTATTTAGTTCGTTGTATTTCAGCTCTGTACTCAATATAGAAAAAGATTATTTACCCCCTCCTTTCATCATTACTAAACAAACAGGTTACACAACAAGCAACATTATTGCTACTGAACTGACATATTTATCTTACCTGCTACCCTCATGTTTGGTTTTTCAGTCTTTGGCACTTTTCATTAAATACGCTCCTAAAAGCAAAAGGAAAGGCAAAATAGCATTAGGTCCAGAAGGAATACGCCACCTCAGGCTGAGTCTGGAGTGTATTTATGAAACCAGGTGTCGTGACATTTCCAAGATTCTACCAACACTGGCATCTCATGAGAAGCCTGTCCCTGGGTCGGTCCCTCCGGCTGGACCACACCGCCACTGTGAGAGTCACGTCCCCCCTGTGATGCGCCCACTCCACCCTGAACGAGCACCAGGGGAAACCCGCCATCAAGTTGGGGAAGAGAAGACAGCGCCTTACTCCTCTCAGTGAGTCTGCTTCCATGAGGAACTCTGGATCTTCAGCTCAAACTTTCAGTTTGGAGTCGAGGTCCCGAGAGGTTCAGATGCTTTTCCAGGGACGGAACAAATTAACTGCAGAATGGGACTAGGATTTGGGTCTGCTGCCCCCCACTCCAGGGCTCACTCCACTATGTGATGCCACTTACAACAAAGGCTTCTTATTTTAATATCAGGGTTCTCTTCCTCATCATGTTTTCAATTTAAGTTTATAAAAGAACATATTCAGGAGTAGAGAATTACAATTTTAAATATTCCAGCAATTATTATTAATAGTGTATGTTATCCATCAATGAAGAAATTAAATTACCCTTTGGTATTCTTTTTTTAAAAAAATATATTTTATTGATTTTTTTACAGAGAGAAAGGGAGAGGGAAAGGGAGTTAGAAACATCGATGAGAGAGACACATCGATCAGCTGCCTCCTGCACACTCCCTACTGGGGATGTGCCCGCAACCAAGGTACATGCCCTTGACCGGAATCGAACCTGGGAGCCTTGAGTCCGCAGGCCGATGCTATATCCACCGAACCAAACGCTTTGGTATTCTTAATAACAAGAAAGAGATACTGGGGGGGAAAAATCTTTGTATGTATATTTCCCTCCTAAGAAATAACTCAAGATAGGAAAAATTTTTTTAAGCAAATGGAAAAGCAAGTACATGAGTTTGGACAGGAAATTTTAAAAGGCAAATGGAAAAAAACCAAATGACTGAGATCAACAGGAAATTCATGCCCAAGTTTAGCTGGACAGCTACTGCAGCCTACTCAGTCTATTATACAGGAAAGGAATTCAAAAGAAAGTTTTGATTAATGAATCACATTAATAAAAAATACATCTTTATTATCGCTTCTCAGCCTTTTGGCTAAGATCAAGCGTAAAACTACATCTTTAGTTTAGACTGTATTTTCATACTGATGCTTTGATGATGAAGTCTGACCTTAATAATCCATAGATTCCGCTTCAAATAAAACAATGCCCGACCCCTGAAGGGCAGGGAGGGGAAGTGAGGCACCAGGTTCTCGGTCCACCCAGAAGGAGTATGTGGGCGAACGTCCAAGGGGTCAATGCCATGTGCGAACCCTTTCTCCTGCCCTATTTGCCCTGTTTTAAGAAAACGTCAGCACTTGAACTAATGCTGAATTGAGCATTATTGATTTATTTTCCTTTGTCAGTTACCTGAACACCTTCTACATAATAGGAAAAGTCACTTAAATTTAAGTGGACTCTAATGAACAAATTAGACTGACAAACAAAATAGATCCAGAGACATGAAGCATGGGTCAGATGGACCTATCTCAGAGGGAAGGGCAGGGGAGAGAGATTAACCAAAGTACTTACAAGCATGTAGGTATAACCCATGGACACAGATTATAGTGTGGGGAAGGCCTGGCGGCAGGGTGGGGGGAAGAGGGGAGAGGGTGTCAATGAGGAAAAACGGTGACATCTATAATACTTTCAACAATAAAGATAAATTTTTTTTTAAAGTCAATGTTCTATATCTATTTAAACTAACTACTTAGCCACAGGCTTGGATAATACCGAAAGGAAAGAAGAGATTCTGAAGTATCCACAAACCATCCCATAAAAGCAGGGGGAAATAAAACAACACTTGGCTTTTCACATGAAAACCCCAAGTGGTTACAAATCCTCTTTGGACTTCTAGGAAGAATGGATACTGTTTCACAGGCCTTCCCTCGCAGCTAATGCGCCAGAGTAACGTCACTCTTATCTGAGTGCGGGCCTAGGAAGATTTCTCTGAAAGTGATGAGCAGCTGGGCAAATGCACTTGCTGTTCTTCTTCCTGTTTCCATTACCTGCTAGGGGGCCACCCCTGTATAATGAAAGTCACTGCCTCCTACACCTGCTATCTCTTTGCACTGCCTAGCAGGCCTGCTTCCAAACTGATCACTAGTAAGATTGCAGTTATAAGCAGCTACAATTGTCTTGATGAATTCATTAAAGTTCTCAGAGAAGAACGCTTGGTAAAATCTCAAAATTAAGATCTTATCAAATGTCAGTCATAACACATTTTTAATTAGTTTGCTTAAGAAGCAAATTGGGCCCGGTCAGCGGTTGAGAGTCGACCTATGAAACAGGAGGTCACAGTTCGATTCCCGGTGCACATGCCCAGGTCGTGGGCTCAATCCCTAGTGTAGGGAGTGCAAGAAGCAGCCGATCAATGATTCGCTCTCATCATTGGTATTTCTCTCTCTCTCTTTCCCTCTCCCTCTCTGAATCAATACAAATATTTTTTATAAAAAGAAGCTAATTATGTAAGAGTGAAAATCAGCATAAGGGAAGATTATTGAATATATCTAAGAACGAATCGGGGAGCATCTGTTTACGATGTGTTAATCCAAACTTGTTCCTAACTTGTCTTCTAAAGAGGACATTTAAGAAACAAGGAAAATCATGCCCAGGCCGGGTAGTGCAGTTGGTTAGATCACGGTTCCCATCCATCAAGGCACATACAAGCCAATGAACGCATAATTAAGTGGAACAACAAATCAGCTTCTCTCTCTCTCTCTCTCTCTCTCTCTCTCTCTCTCTCTCTCTCAAATAAATTAAAATAAATACAAAATAAAAAGTAAGTCAATACAAGGAAATTCATTACACATAATTATCTTGGAGGCAAGGGGAGTGGGGGGCAGCAAAAACTTAATGGGATCTTGTATAAACCTGAGGCTGACCCTCCAACAACCAGGTAGGAATTGAACAAGTCCAGAGAAAATGAACACCAGGTTAAGAAGCCTTTGCTAGAAACTCAAATCTCTAATCCAGAAGCTACAGGTAAAATAATTTATAATTTTTCGTGTATGCCCATTAAAATGTAGAGACATAGAAATTAGGCCCATTTACCACAACTAGAATATTGATGGTAGGGAACAATATTTTTAGGGTAGATTACAGCAAACACACAAAAAGCAACATTGATAGTACATTTGTGAAATACACATAGACCAACACAACAAGGTTTTGAGTGTTTTAGATAAATGACTGAACCAAATTCTGGTGCTAAGATGTAAAGTGCACAGTCACCTGAGAGCCACTGGAAGGAGGGTCACCGTGACCCTGGGCAGTGAGACGCTGTCCTGGATAAACACTGAGCACGCGGCCCAGCCCTAGCCTGAAGAGAGACTAAATTGGGGCTCAAAATGACATCCTGGATTGCTTTGAATGTCTTACAATTTAAACACTTCCTTTAGCCTAATTATCTACTTTCGTCTAATTTAGGGAAGTTTTGTGAAAATCGGGCCTGAAAAAGCAGGTATCGTCCTAGAATCAATCCACTTCAGGAAAAACAGATAAATACCCAGGTCAAGCGATACTTTCATTCTTCCTTTGAGAAATGGACTCCTGCTACGTCATGTGAATTACAAGAACACCAGTCTACATAAATAAGCCATAAAAATAATCATTTACCAGGAGGGGAAGGCCATGGCAGTTAACATAAACCAGGTAACATAATGCGTTTGGCAGAGTGGCTCATACACTTTCTTATTTTATGTAATCTTTTCAATAGCTCTCTAGTGAAGTGGGTATTAGGATGGCATTACAGATGAAGTCAAGGGATTTGTCAAAGGTCGTATGAAGGGTAAGGAGCTAATACTGCAAACAAATCCACTTCCCTTTCACCCCAGCAGCTCACTGAGATAGTCTAACATAAGAGCTTGTTGACAAAATTCCATGCCAATCAACTTTGCTTTTGCAAACTGCTCTGGGAACTGGCAGTCTCTGCTGCCAGCAACCACTTCAGAGATCTGACAAAATGACTAAGCACCGTGTATCAGGACCTTCCTCAAAGACAGGAAGAACAGAAAGTGAGGCACACAAACACATCCACTGATGTGTTTAGAAGAACAGAAAGTGAGGCACACAAACACATCCATTGACGTATTTGATTTTTTTTTGCTGTTTGTTAATCCTCACCTGAGGATATTTTTCCATTGATTTTTTAGAGAGAGTGGAAGGAGGGAAGGGGAGAGAGAGTGAAACCTCGGTGTGAGAGACACATCCACTGATTGCCTCCCTCACCTGCCAGGACCAGGACCAGATATGCAAATTAAAATTACAGCCCGGCCAGCGTGGCTCAGGGTTGAGTGTCAACCTATGAACCAGGAGGTCATGGTTCACTTCCCCATTAGGGCACATGCCTGGGTTGCAGGCTCGATTCTACCACTAGTAGGGGGCATGCAGGAGGCAGCGAATCAATGATTCTCTCTCATCACTGATGTTTCTATCTCTCTCTCCTTCCCTTCCTCTTTGAAGTTAATAAAAATATTTTTTAAATTAAAAATACCATCAAGTATCACCTCACACCTGCCAGAATGGCTACCATCAATAAATCAACAAACAGCAAGTGCTGGCGAGGATGTTGGGAAAGGGAACCCTAATATAGTGCTGGTGGGAATGCAGAGTGGTGCAGCCACTGTGGAAAACAGTATGGGGTTTCCTCAAAAAACTAAAAATAGAACTGCCATTTGATCCCACTTCAGGGAATATATCCTAAGAATCCCGAAAAAACAATCAGAAAGAATATATGCACCCGTATGTTCATAGCAGAGCTATTTACAACAGCTAAGATGGAAACAGCTCAAGTTCCCATCAGTAGATGAGTGTATAAAAAAGCGGTGGTACATTTACACTATGGAATGCTATGCAGCTGGGGAAAAAAAAAAAGAAGGATCT